GGTTGGGTGGTAGAAAACAATGTGGTTCAGCGTCAAAGCGGAAAACGCAAGCCGTGATCCCAAGATGCTTGTCAACGTAATACGTGAGGAAGGGTAGATTCAGGCAGGCTTTGGTGCAAATGGTGAAAATAAGAAATTCTTCATAAAATTCTTCAAATTCTTTAGTTAATTCCAGTAGCAAGAGAACTCCAAAGTACTCTTATATAGTTCCTAATGTCCCCCAAACTGGTCCTGCTTTCCCAGGGAAATGTGACCCGTGCAGGTTACAAGGGAAATCTCCCCCTTTCTCACTTAACATCTCTACACCTCATTGCCCAATTTGACCTAGCCACAGTACTAACAGGATTTGGGTTAATTTTTGTCACCCAGGTGCCTGGGTGAGGGGAGTAAAGGTCTGAGGCCCCCAAAGGTCAGATTTTCACAAAAAGGTGCGGGGTTTTTTTGTATGAAATATAACCAAGAAGTACTAGAATTATCCCTTGCTCTTCCCACACATTCCATAATGATGAGTTGGCCTTTCCCCCCTTTATTCTCCCTCAAATGAAATTAATTCTAAAACCGATGCCTGACCCTCAGGTAGCTGACTTTCAGCTCTCCTCATCTRTATTTTTATGTGAGAACGGGGAAGTTGGCATTCTCATGGAATCCCATGAATTCAGGAATTTGGCCTTGGAGAAAACTAAAATCCTTTGAGCTGCTTGGTGGAGTAATGAGAAATCTCGGAATGAAAAGTGCCCCATTCTACAGCAGACAGAGCTGTTGTTGATTTTGGYAGCAAGAACTGCRGTGTGCTAAAAATACYCCAGTTTTACTGGTCATGCCCATTCAAAGGCCTGAACCAAAGAATGAGATCTGAATTTATGAGATACAAATGATTGGATTATTTTTATCTATTTCCAAGTCTGTTGGTTGTGCCGGGGTTGCACATTGGATGTGCAATCGATTGACTGGCACAAATGGAGAGTCGGGAATGYGGCTGCCCCGGGGTACCGAAATACAGGGATGGGACAGGAGTCAGGGACAGCAGCTGCTCGAAGCAGGGCACAGAAAATAACCCTCTGCAGATCTTGGGGCAGGGAAATCCCTGTGCCTGCTGCTGTTGGGAGGTATCTCACTGGAGTTAGAGTTTGGGGAGCACAAACTTTAAAATTACAGTTCATAGTATGCTTCATAGTGTGCTTGGGTTTTGCCTTGAGTGTGTCTCATTAAAAAAATAATAAAAAATGAGCYCCCCAAATAGCCAAATAAAGTGTTTCCTCCTGCTTCTAATTTAATTGGCACAAATTAGGGAAGGTCCAAAAATAAATGTTCAGMCACAGGAGAAAAACAGCAGAAAACCACAGGACACATTAAAGCTGGGAACTCCTGGCACTGGGAAAAGGATGCTGCTGTAAGAAAAAAAGAAATGACCCCGGAGGGTGGGTTTGTGTTGGAAAAGGAGCTAGTGTCTCYTATGTGAATGGAACATGTTCATGCAGAGTGTTTGAGGGGCATTTTCTTCTTAAATCAAATCAAATACTCTTAGTGATAGCTGAGGAACAGCCAGTCAGAGCTGCTCAGCTTGGCCTCGGTGAAGCACTGATACCTTCTGGTCGTTTGTGAGGGGCTTGGTCACATCCTTATCCCTGGGAATGTTGAAAACATTCAGGAATCATGTTTAATTAGGAATCTGAGGCTGSAAGGGAGCTCCTAGCTAATTGAAACTAAGGTGTCTTTGCAGCATGTGCCTTTCAAAACTCATTTCAGAATCACATTTGTGTCTCTCACTTYATCACTGTGATGATTCATAATTATTCTCCTTGAAAGTGGGCTGTGGTGTTTCTTCTACGCTCTGTGTATTTTGAGTGAGCTCCCATGTCACAGCAAAACCCGATTGCAATGGCTTGGGTAATTTGTGTTCCTGGAAACCAAGAACATTGTCTTCAATCTGTTCTTTCACTGGCATCACTGTTGGWGGATCCACATCAAAAGCTGTAGGATCAGCCCTGGGAATTTAAGTCTTTTACCTTATTTTCTGCAAGAAGTCATAAGTGTATTTAAGAAYGTAACTGAGCGCTGACTTTTTAAGCAAAGACTGGCAAAGACTGGCTATGCTCACACCTCACGTGCACACTCCCAGATGATCATTGAAAAGCAAAAAAAGCATTCCCTAGAACAAAGTGAAGAATCCCGTAGAAGAGAGGAATAATCAAATGCCTGCAGAGGCAAACTGGTTAAATTTGGGAATTCTCAGGTGCATCTCACTGCAAGTCTTTGAAATACTTTAGTAAACTTCCCGAATTACCCTTTTCCTCCTCTGTCCAGCACACCTGGATATCTAACGGTGTGGAAAATGTGCTTCCACTGGGAATCCAACAGGTCTGGACCAAGGTTCGGGCTGTCTGGCCGCGGTGGTGCGGGTGGTACTCGGTTTGCTGACCCGGGATGGATTTTCCGGTCAGTCCGTGGCTGCGCCGAGAACTGGGCACCGTGTGATTCCTCCTGTGCCATGGTTCAGTAATTCCCGTTCCATGGAAAGCTCCCGATGGCCATTCTATAGGAACTCATTCCATCCTGCGGTGAATGCGCTGCAGAGGCCCCGGCCCAGCAGAACGACACTAGAGGGCACAGCGCGACCAGAGATAGGCGCGGCTTTGGCTTGGGCTTGGGCTTGGGCTTGGGCGAGGGGGAGGGGGATGGGGAGGCAGAGCCCGGCTGTCTCTGAGCTTTCTTTCACCCGGGAGACTTCAAGCGACTCCTTAAAGTGACACCTTTTGGAAGGTTCTGCACTCATTAGCTGCAGTCATTCAAGGACGAAACTGTGGCAGAGAATCAGAGAATATCCCGAGTTGGGGTTCCTCTCCTCCCAGAGAGGTTTTGGGCTCCACATCCCTGTAAGGTGTGGAATGTTCTGCAGAAGTAGTGGTGCACTTGGATTATTAAGAGGAGTGAAAAGAATTTTATTAGGCACARGAAGAAATCAAAGACAGAAAATGCAAGAAATCAGTGGCTGGAATGGACTGAATTGACYGAACTTGTCAGTAGATACCATGGAAGTTTGGTGATGACAAACTTTCCTGATTCATTTCTGATTCCTGTTGCTGSCCCTCAAGATATCTTTTCTTTCCTATGCCTTGATTTCTAGAAACCTGAAAGGAAAAACTCCAGAAGGAGTKGCCCTTCCATTTCTTTCTGGTTTCATTTCCCTACATCTCCAGTAACATAAATTTTATAAGTAATATAAAACGTTTCAAACGAGCATGCATTAAATGCATGAAGCCCTCAGGATCCTCTGCCCAAACAAACTCCTTCCTTCCCTCTGTCTCTGTGTTTCAGTGAGCGCTCCAGCAGCCTCRTTGTTTGGATAATTCAGGGTGCCAGATGGCTGTAAATATGTTCACAATCCTCCTTATCCTGCTCCCTGCTCCCTGGCACCCTCTCTGCTCTCCCCAGTACTGAGCACCKGGTCTGCTCTCGTTTGCAATCTCCCTTCTCCTCTCTGGAGCTCAATTGGCACCTCTGGTTTGTATTTTCCCTTTCAATGAAGTGGGAAGGTCTCAGGGAATGTTTTGCACCAGGGAATACTTCCCTGACTGTCACCTGCACTGTCAGGTAATTGCAAACGTGCCTCCTGCCCTGTGGCATCAGCTTCCTTCCCGTGGGAATCCTGTTCCTGACAGCTCACCTGCCAGGAATCGCAAGGGCAGAGCAGGTTCTGCCTATTTTGAGTGCGTATATCTCATGCTTGCCTTTGGCATGGGGTGAGGGCACACAGAACAGGGTGATTCATCCCAAATCCTGCCTTGAGGACCTGGCAGAGAGAGCGGCCCCACGCTTCCTGCCTCATAGGCTCTGCATCCATTGTCACACTCTGATCCTGTTATTCCATAACTCAGGAGTGCCCAAATCCTGGGGCCTGAGCCTCTGAGATAGCTTTTCTGTGTCATGAAACATTCTCAAACTGCTGAGCAGTAAGAAAAGGACAGAAGATTGCTTCAGTGGCCCTGTAAAAAGGGAAGTTGGTTTTAAGAATCTGAAAATACAGGCAGTGGTGTTTGGAGAACTGAGGAATAACTGAGGTCACAAGCTGCCTGAGGAACACTGCAGCAGCACAAATTCAGGTCATGAGAAGGGTGAGCTGTGCCCATGARGAAATAAGAATTCAGCCAGATTTATCTCTGGTTTTGTCTCATTGATGAGCTGGTGGGTGAACTCTTCCCTAGGAAAGCAGGAGGGAGCAGATGGCAGCAGGCAAATATCTGACTTGAGCAATGAGAGAAACCAATTTTCCAAAGGCTYGATTTGACATACAGAGGCCAAATGTTATTTTTATGAACCAGTATGAGCCAGGCCTCTTTTTTATCGAACTTTACCAGTTTGTTTCCTGCCAGCAGACCTAAACCCAGTGACCCTGTGACCTATGAAGGACAGGAGAGCCAGCAGCSYGGAGCAGGCATTCCGAGCAGGCTTTTCCAGGAACYGTCAGCATTCTGAATGCCTCCTCASAGTTTCTGGGAAGCACGACTCCCAGCTTGGTCTGCAGAAAGGTAGACAGCACTCAGATTATATATAGCAGCAAGTGGGCTGGGAGGAGAAACATTGGGCTGCAGGAAGGGGGAGGCTGCTCTGGAGAAACCCAGGGAATGTCTGATGGTGCAGCACAAACTGCAGTGGTGCCTGGCGAGGGGAGCCAGGCCAGTGCTGGCCAGCACTAATGGGGTGAAGGAACAGCCAGCACTAATGGGGTGAAGGAACAGCCAGCACTAATGGGGTGAAGGAGCATCCTGGGCCATTCCAGGGGCAGCTTGGCTGCACTCACATTGATCCCTTGCTCTCAGTTCCTCATCCTGTTCCACTGCCTGCCACGGGCAGGGACACCTTCCCCTATCCCAGGCTGCTCCAAGCCCCATCCAGCCTGGCCTTGGACACTGCCAGGGATCCAGGGGCAGCCACAGCTTCTCTGGGCACCCTGTGCCAGAGCTCACCACCCTCACAGGGAACAATTCCTTCCCAAAATCCCATCTAAACATCCTCTCTTTCTGTTTAAAGCCATTAATGACTGCTCATTTGTTGAGAGTCCTTTAAATAATGATGTCCACATCTTCACTGGCTCATTCCAGTCAATGCCAGACCTTTGCCTATTGCCCAGTRTCAGCCTCTGAGTCACAGATTCCTCCAGATCTGAATGGTTCCCTSTGTCTGCCTGTCCTATATGTATGGGCTCTTTATTCCAACCACAGGCACTGTTCTGTCGGCCCAGGGCAGGTATGGGGCACCTTCCCTGGACACTTCCAGAGATGGGGCAGCCACAGCTTCTCTGGGCAATCTGTGCCAGAGCCTCACCACCCTCCCAGGGAAGAATTCCTTCCCAAGAATTCCATCCTAGGGTGTCTCTCTGTTATTCCCTTAGAAAGGCAGGAAGGGAGGGAGGGAGGRRGGGATTTGCTTAAAGCTTTYGAGGCGGAGAGGGAGAAAATAACCAAAAAAAGGCTCTTTGGCTGGCAGGGTGGGTGGGCTCCTGTGTGCCGCATGCAGCCGGGGTTCCTCGGCCTGAGGTCCTTATTTGGCTGGGAGCAGGAGCGTTCTGGGGATTGGCTGTGCTGGGAGCACAGCGAGTGCAGGCACTGCTGCTGAGTGCCAGCTGATGAGCACAGCACACACTCCCCGCTCCTCAGCATGTGTCGAGCAAATTGCAGCTATTTTTACAGGAGACGCTTTGCCTACATCTTAAGAATCCAGTCCCAATCCTGTCTCCCTGTAGTGTAATGGGAAACCCCTTTCCCAGCCCCCTTTTCCCTGTTCTGCATGTGTTTTCAAGCACAGTCGGGCAGAACCCAGACTTGTTGGCCATTACCAGGCTTCAGACTTGTGTGCTGCGTGCCGCCCAGCCCAGGGCACTCTGTATTCCTGTAATGATGCAGTGTTTTGTCTCCAGAGCCAGCATAATTGCCAGGCTGGACAATAGCGGCCCTTTCTGGGAATGGCAGACGGCTGCTCCGCTGCTGGCCCGGCACAGCCCCTTTGTGCAGTGTTATTCCCGCATGGACAGACCCACTGACCGGGGTGATGCACAAAGCCACGGCTGTGCTGCCCTTGGCTTCGCAGCTCCAGGGCTCTCTGCACCRTGCCAGGGGCTTTGGGAATGCCAGGGGGCTGCCAGGAAGCAGCAGGGAGCTGGAAGCAGGGAAAAATTGTGAGGGGTGAGGAGGGAGGCAAGAACCCCAGAACTGTCCTTAGGAACTTCAGGGTCTCCCTAAGAGAGAGCAGGGCAGGGCAGCTCAGGTGTGCCAGGGGCAGCTCGGGTGTGCCAGGGGCAGCTCAGGTGTGCCAGGAGCAGCTCAGGTGTGCCAGG